GAGCACATCATATCCGACAACGCCTCGACTTCGGTCTCAGACTTTTGCGACTCTGGTGATGTAGCAGCTGTCTGGGGACTGGAGGTAGAGTCCATACGAGGTGTGGTTTGGTGGGAGCTGGGGGCCTGTTGGGCTGCAGTTGCTTGAGCCATGAACTTGCTAGAGTTTTTCGCTGCGTTCAGCGCATTTGTTCGATCCGCGAGCCGCTTCTCCAATGTTCCGAGATCTGTCTTGCCGCCATCTTCTTCTGACAAAAGACCTGACAAACGCAACAACGACTCCATCCGGCCTAGCCGGTTTTCAAGGCCTTCGATGTATTTCGCTCTATACAAGAAATATCCGGGTCAGATAAGCACAACCTCATATGCGATCAAGTCCACAAGTATACATACCCTTTAGGAGGATTCCGCTTCTTCTCTACTTGTGTGAAAATGCATTCCGTTTTGTAGTTAATGCAGTGTGAGCATTTTGGCATTTTTCCATCGCATTTGATCTTCTTCTTCCGACACATATCGCACGCCTATTCGCACGTCAGATGTGTCCTCAATAGCTGCGACGGGTAGTGATCCTCACCCTCGCAATCCTCCGTCTCTTCGCATCGTTGGTCTCGTCCCCCGCGCCCAATGATGAATCATCGTACATAGACCCCGCTTGCATCTGAGGATGATCGTAGCTGAAGACTTGTGGCGTCTGGCTCATCATAGGAGGTGGGTCGAAGCCCATACCATCGCCGTCCCCCAAGCCATCCATTTTTCGTATGAGGGGCAAAGGAAACTCCGCGGAGTGGAGGTAATGGCGGTAATTAGTAATGACGATACTGCGGGGTGCTGTGTAAGGTTCGGCGCAGAGCGGGTTTCCACTCCTGAGAAAGGAGTGCGCTATGGATTATAGAAATGAATGACGTATAGGAGGGTATAATCTTTTTTTTTTCGCGGGAGTAGGTTGACAATGGATTCACTAGGCACAAGCACCAGATCAGAGTTTGGGTCCAGATCTTCTAAAGTTTAGGTAAGATGACTCAACCACACGTGAGAGAAAGGATTCAAATTGATATTCCAAGTAAAAAAGATCAACGCTACGAAGTAGATCAAACACTATACGGAGTTAATACTAGTATACCGAGTACGAGTTGCTGCCTTGAAGATTGTTTAGTGGCATGACGGAACCTCCGAAACCCGACCGCCGAGCAAAACTTACTTGGGACGGTCGATTTCGTCCGATCCGGAGAACAGGGGCATTGGCTTCCGTTCAATCTCTTCCAATCCACTCATTGCGCCGATCAGAGGCACTTGTACCTATCCTTGTGCCTAATAATTCTTGCGAAAAGGGTGTGTGGCGTTCTATATGGGGTAGGACGGATTCCGTGCCCGTCACAGGCCTTAGAACCTTGCGAGCCTTCCGAGGTTGGGCCGACCTATTTTTTAACTGTCCAGGGGTTGACCTTGTGACATATGTATGTTTGGTCTTTTATGACTAAAATTGGTAGAAATCGACAATCTGGCAGTGTGATCTGATATGATGCCGGGAATTTCCGGTTCTGGTATGCTGGGTTATGCATGTATGTCGGATGGATGGATAAGAATAAAAGTACATTTAACGAAGAGCGGCGATCTCGTAGGGATATGTGAAAACAGTACATATAATACAACAAGGTTCGTAAAGAGCAGTCATGTTCCTCCGATCTTGTAAATGCCAAACCAACGCCACGCTATGTGCCCAAAATATGATGACCAGTCTGTCAATGTCGAGACCTAAATTCGCTTTTCTATCGTTGCCCGAAGGTCATTGCCGGAGAAGAGGGAAGTTGAAGCTGCATCGACGAAGTCTTAAGCATGCTTATCGAGGAACTCCTTCGCCTCGTTAATCTTGGTGGCCAAGTATGGACTGCCGCCGCGATCGGGGTGGTTGAGCAACATGAGCTGGCGGTGATTCTTGCGGATCTTGTCCTTGGTCAAAGTTCGTTCACTGAGAAATTATGTCAGTTCTAGCTTCTCAAAAGTTTGTCGCTAGCACACATACGCAAGTTGTAGAATCAGGGAGGCTTCCCGGCGGTTCATGCGCGGTTCGAATCCTCTATAATATGACGTTAGTCAATATCCCGAATGCCCTTAAGATGGTAAAATGCCGACGAACCCCTTATAGAATGCCTTTCCGGCAGCGTTTAAGCCTCCCTTAGAGCGGCGATAGGCGACTAGACCAGCGCGGCCCTATAGACAATCAGTTAGTCCCGTGCTGCTGAACAACGAGCATCACGAATTTTTTGACTTACCAAAAAGGCAGTTGTGGCAATGCCAAATCCAATAGCAAGAACAGAGGCCATTTTGTAGATTAAGAAAGAGAGAGAAGTCGCGAAACGAGATCAAGTTAGTTGGACCGGAGAACGAGCGAAGAGGCGCCGGGATAGAAAAGTCAGCGCGGGCGTCCCAAAATGGTTTAGCGTGGCCTGCTCCACCATTCAGGCCCAAGCTACAGAAAAAGTTTCTTGCGACTCAACGAAGACATAACCAACACCACTCTACAACCATGCGGTAAGTTTTGCAGTTAATTTTTGTATGAACTCGTTCTACGGAATGCTAATATTTTTTTGGTCTGCAGTGTTGAAACTTGTCACTTCTGTTCCCGCCCGGCATTCCCGAGTAAGGGCATCACATTCGTCCGCAACGATGCCCGACAATTCCGTTTCTGTCGGTCTAAGTGCCACAAGAACTTCAAGATGAAGCGTCAGCCCCGCAAGCTTAAGTGGACCAAGACTCACCGTGCCTCGCGCGGAAAGGAGATGATCGTGGATTCGTCGCTTGTCCTATCCCAGTTCGCCAAGAAGAGAAACGTTCCCGTCAAGTACGACCGCAATCTTATGGCTGCTACCATCGCTGCCATGGAGAGAGTGGAGGAGATCAGAACCCGCCGCGAGCGTGTGTTCACAAAACGCCGCTTGGCCGGCAAACTCGCCCGCGAGCGCCAGCGCGAGGCGGACCGCAAGGTCGTCAACAGCGGCGAGCACCTCATTCGGAAGGAACTCCGGGAGCGCGAGGAGGGCAAGCCCATGGTGGCCGAGCAGAGCAAGGTGGCCAACAGAGTTCACGGCGAGGAGAGAATCCGCCAGAAGCAGAAGAGCAAGCTTTTGGTGGATGGTGGAGTCGAGGAGCAGATGGATATCGACTAAATTTTCTCCTGGGAATATACTTTTTCTTTTGTTTTCATGCTTCTTCAGATACGACACGGTTCCTGCCACGCGCAGATTTTCGGAGTTGGGCATGCTTGGGTGTTTTAAAAGCAATCAATGTTTTTCATCATATCTCATATCCAGTGGGCTGTTAGCCTCCTGCTGCTTGGGAGGCTAATAAAAATGTGTTTACAATGACCCACAATGTTACATAGGTTGCTAGTCAGTAGTGCAGTGACCAGAGTGGTCAAATGACCATAATGAGATCTTTGGAGAACGACCCTAACAAATATCCCATCTAGGCAACCCTATGTAACCTTCCTACTACACCACCTCCAATCAACAACGTTCTCTTGTTCAACCCAACAATCCCCCGGACCCCTCTGCTATAGTCTACAAAATAGCCTAGAAGCCTCGATCCTCTACAGTAGTCAACAACGACTTAACATGAGATCAATACTTAGCTGTTAGAGAAGCGCAGTCCCGGGAGCAAATGGCTGCCTTGGACCCCTGGACCGTAGCATATCCAAAAATGACATGCCCTCGATTCCATATAGATCTGTGGTTTAGTTAAGCGGTGCGATAGGTTGCAACCAACCTTCGTCGCTACCGTGCTCACTGGAGTAGTATATCCGCTTCCTAGCATCCTCCTTAACTCAAGCAGCCGATTCCATCCTCGGTAGATAAGAAGCAACACCAAGGACATGCGCGCTATGTGATGATTTTGTCATTCACACTTCGAGGCCCAGAAAAGTTTGAGATTGAACAGGGACAGTGAATGAGGATACTAAATTTCGACAGATACTCGCTCACGGACATGTGGGTAGAAACTGATCTGCAAAATTAATGTTGCGACGAGCCATGCCACCAGGCTTGTACACGATTGTGCAGCGGTGTAATCTTTTCAGAAACCGACTTTTGAAGCGACAAGAATATATATCTAGCAGTAGGGAAGGTTGTTGAGAGCAAATAACCAGGCGGTCATACTACCAGCAAGTTCTTTTGAGACTCTAATGAAACGTGATGATGTCGCTGAGACAAGATAGTGCTCGTTATGTTGATATGGGCGAAAGAAGATAAACGCATAAGAGGGAGCGGGAAAAGTAGGAAGAGAGTAGAAGGATGATGGGCTATGTGAAATAAATCCCCGAGACCATTCAAGAGACCAATATTAATCGAATAGCTAATCTCTAGGACGTGAAAGAAGAATTCAGGTCGTCAGGTATACCATGAATAAGTAGAGCGTGTGAAGCAGCATTGGAAAGGTCAAAGATAGATAATCCAGAAGAGATAGGTATATTGATTGATAGCCGGAAGTTAAATAATCTGGTCGCCAAGTAGGCGATAGGTATACGCATGAAAGACAGAAAAGAACAGAGCTTTCAAAAATTGAGCGGTGTTCCTGAGCCGCGCTTGATATGATCAGTAGCAAAACTAAATACAATACAAGAATTGACGGCAAGAAGATGCTTCGGGGGTCGAACGAAAAAGCGAGAGGCTAGATGTGAAAGAGAAGGTAGAGCAAGAGGTAAAAAAAAAAGAACAAAGCGCCCCTCTGGTAAGCGAAAACTCCCCTATTCGGTCATCCTTCCATATAGATCAAACCAGGTCCTATGATAGACTGCGCCAAACACCACCTCCAAGAGGAGGGAAATGAGACTGAGAACAAAGAAAGCGAATGCAATGGTGGAGGTTGATGACGGAGATTCATAATAGACGGAGAGGGAAAAGACGCGGGTGGGTATGTATGAAGTCGACAAAAGTAGAGTAGATGAGACTCATATAGACAGGGTATAGTCGCATCGAAATCATCTGCATGGAAATAAATATGCTAAACTCATGTACTGTTGGATCGTAGCAATGCCTGGGAATGATTAGCCAGGCTGTTCTGAGCGTTCAATTTTGAACGTACAGCTAACGTACCCGCTCGTCGATGATCTCTTCTTTCTCTTCCGACGGACTGACCACACTCCCCCGGGTGATAGGACCAGAAGGTGTGATGGACCGGGAATTTACAACCGAGCGAGGGGACGGCAAAGGCTGCTGCTTTGACCGCTGTTGTGGTGGTGGCGGCTGTTGGTTCTCGGACATTGAGTAGTTGGGATGCATTTCCCCGCTACTCGAAATCCTAGACTCCTTGCTCTTCTCCAATAAAGATCCACCAAGGGTAGCACATTTGAGGATGGTTTGCATCATCTGGTTTTGTTTGAGCGGCTTGGACAAGTACTCGTCCATCTGTGCCTGTATACACTTCTCCCGATCACCCAACATAGCGTGGGCAGTGAGCGCAATAATTGGGGTTCGTTGAAGCCCACTCTCGCGTTCATATTCACGAATCTTGCCGGTGGCTTCAAAGCCACCCATGACTGGCATCTGAACGTCCATCAAAATAACATCGTAACGACGGTTCTTGACAGCCTCAACTGCTTCCAAACCATTGCCAACAACAAACACGTTGTGGTTATGCTTCTGAAGAATCTTCATCGCAAGTTGCTGGTTGACGTCATTGTCCTCCGCTAGAAGAATATCGAATGAACGCGAGTTGTCGGTGGTGATCGGCGTCGATCTACCTTCCAAGGCTGGTAACATGCCATTGCCAAGATCAATCGGCTGACATGGGGTAGTCATGTATGAGCTGATACCAAGGTCCAAAGCCGACTTCAAGCTCACGCACACCAAAGGACAGACCAAAACAATGGGAATATATTTGAACTCGTCAAATGTCCGCAAGACCCGGGCAGTATCTACCGAGTCGACAATGATGACATCGTAGGCATGGCCTGATTCCTTGCCCGAAGGATCTTGGATCTCAGGCGGAGGAACATGTTCCTCGTTCCGTACAACCAACGGCTCTAGGTCAATTTTCTTCAACATCTTCATGACGTTGGTAGCTTGAGCACCGTTCTGGCCCTTGTCGATGAACAACACACGGTGATTCTTGTACGGCAAGAGCTGGTTGGCGATGACACTCAAAGACTGGTCCGCGAGTTTCACCACACAGGTGAAGTGGAAGGTACTTCCATGTCCATATTCGGAAGTGACCCATACGTCACCGCCCATCAAATTTACAAGGCGCTTGGAAATCGACAATCCCAACCCAGTGCCACCAAATCTGCGGGTGGTTGAGCCATCGGCTTGTTGGAAGGTGTCGAAGATGAGATCAAGCTTATCCTCTTCAATTCCAATGCCCGTGTCAGACACTGAGAATTCAAAGGCGTATTCGTTGGTCGTGCATTGTTCTCTGTCCGACTTTCGGATAGTGAGCTTAACTTCACCATGCTCGGTGAACTTGATAGCGTTTCCAACAAGGTTAAGAATAATCTGGCGGAGACGGAATGGATCGCCAATGACATAATCAGGAACAGTATTGTCAACTTGGTAGGTCAAACTCAAGAACTTCTCATTGGCCTTGACAGCCAACGTCTTGAGAGCATTGAAGACAGTACCTCTGACGGTGAATGGAATGCTCTCGATAACCATCCGGTTGGCTTCAATCTTCGAAATATCCAGAATGTCATCAATGATAGTCAACAAACTGTTTGCCAAGTTATGCACGACGTTCAACATTTCTCGGGTATATGGCTTGAGATCATCCGTGTCCAGTGTCAACTGAGTCATTCCAATGATACCGTTCATCGGCGTTCTGATCTCGTGCGACATATTGGCCAAGAACTCTGATTTGGTGCGATTGGCGAGTTCAGCAGCCTCCCTAGCGGCAGTGTTTCGCTGAATACTATCACGTAGGTTGGAAACCATCTTATTAATCTTCCGCTTCAGCTCGTCCATTTCACCAGACGCATTGACCGTGATCAACTTGGTAAAGTCACCGTCTGTGGCGGCATCGGTAATTTCACCGAAAGCGCGTACTTGTGATGTCAAGTTTTCGGCCATGGTGTTCACATCCTCGGTAATTTCCTTCCAAGTACCCGCAATACCCTCCACGTTTGCCTGTCCACCCATCTTGCCGTCAACACCGACATCTCGGGCGACCTTCTTCAGCTCAGTAGCGAATTTGGCCAGTCGACCCACCATGTGATTGATGGTGACCTTCAGCGTGAGAATCTCTCCCTGGGCATGCACTTCGATCTTTTTGCTCAGGTCTCCCTTAGCAATAGCTTGCGTGACATCGGAAATACTTCGGACCTGAGATGTCAAATTCTGCGCCATGGTGTTCACATTGTCCGTGAGGTCCTTCCATTTTCCTTCCACGTTGTCAACCTTAGCCTGACCACCGAGGGTACCGTCTGTGCCGACCTCACGAGCCACTTTACTAACTTCGAAAGCGAAGGTGTTAAGACGATCCACCATGCCGTTAATCGTGCTCTTAAGGTCGAGGATTTCTCCTTGTACGTTGGCAGTAACCTTTTTGGTTAGATCACCCTTAGCGACTGCGGTAGTGACATCCGCAATCTCACGCACCTGCGTGGTCAGGTTGTTGGCCATGCGGTTGACATTTTCTGTCAAATCCTTCCAGGTTCCCTCGACATCATTCACAGTAGCTTGGCCTCCAAGAACACCATCGGTACCGACTTCCTTGGCAATCTTAGTGACTTCTTGAGCGAATTGTCGTAGTTGGTCCACCATGGAATTGATAATATTCTTCAGCTCTGCGATTTCTCCCTTACAGTTGGCCTGGACCTTCTGCGTGAGATCACCCTTGGCAACGGCCTTTGTGACAGTAGCAATATCTCGCACTTGCGTGGTAAGATTGTTGGCCATGGCGTTGACATTAACCGTGAGTTCGTTCCACATGCCCTGTACACCCTCGATCTGAGCTTGTCCTCCTAGTACACCTTCCGTACCGACATCACGCGCGACTCGAGTAACTTCTGTTGCAAACGTTCGAAGTTGGTCAACCATGGTGTTGATGGTCTGTTGCAACTCCAGAATTTCACCTTGGGCCCGGCTCTCAATCTTCTGACTAAGATCGCCGTGAGCGACGGCGGTAGTCACGGCGGCAATTTCTCGCACTTGATCTGTCAAATTCTTGGCCATAATGTTGACGTTCTCCGTAAGCTCTTTCCAGATACCATGGACGCCAGTGATCTGGGCTTGTCCACCGAGTATTCCTTCAGTACCGACTTCACGTGCGACACGAGACACTTCACTACCGAAGACTTGCAGTTGATCCATCATAGTGTTAATTGTTCGTTTGAAAGTGGCGATTTCGGGGTCCATTTCCAGCGGGTGAATTTGGACCTTCATGGACAGGTCACCATTGGCGACTTGAGTGATAATGCCACCGATTTCACGCAAAGCTTTCTGGAAGGCCTCGTTGGCCTGTTGGTGCTTTCGCAACTCGCGTTCGAGAAGAACGACATCCTCATTTTCGACCTTGGTAAGAGCGCGACGGGTGTGCTCTTCCTGTTTTTGCAACTCGTCGCGAACCTGAGCGATAATATCCTTTTGGCTGCTTATCTCCTCCGCCTGTTTTTGTACGTGATTGCGTAGGAAGCTAATATCTTCCTCCCGCACGACACGGGTGCCGTTGTCATCTTCATCGTCGGATTCGTCGTCAATTTCTCCCAGGGGTGGTTCGTCGGCCGCGGGGACCGGTATCGTTTTTTGCTGCTGTGACAGAGAGTCAGAATCTTGACCGGACGACAAGCGAGAGAGCCCAAATGTCCTCAAGAAATTCCTCTCGTTGGTCTCAGCAGACGGAGTGGTCTGGTGGGGATCCGCCTGCTGTTGGAAATTGTGGTGACTGACAGCTTGGAATTCCAGATGGTGCACGCGGCGCACCAGGGCCTCAAGCTCGGCTTCGAAGGCTGCCTTGGCGGGACTGTTTTCTCCGGGAAGTTTGGCCGACTTGGTACCGTTGGATAATTGGAAATCAAATGGGGGCGAAGAGGAACCGGGGATAGATTCGTCTCTTGCCAAATTCTGCAGCACGGCAGTCGCGGCCGCGAGTGTCTCGTCCGCGCTAGCCATTGTGCCCTACATAAGTCAGTCTCACAATACAACTAACAACAAAACACATATAGTTACCAATACCCCAGTTGAGAATTTATGAGATGGGGTAGGGCAGGGTGGAGATATGAGCTTAAAGGATCACTCACTGGAAGGTCTGGATCCTGACAGGATGACAGAGATATTGTCTAACTAAGGCGACATGAGGATCCAAATAGAAGACAAAAAAATCAATACAACCCGAGTCGACCGGGGATAAATATGAAAGGGAATATGGAAAGTCGGGAAGGGGGAAAATAGGTGGATAAGAGCGCCCGGTTATGTAAGCCACCACTATGGATGGCTCTGCGGGGATCAAAAGAGAAACACTTAAAAAACAGTCCAAGGATAATAAGAAAAAAGAAGGTCACAAATATTCAAATAAGGAGGATTTGATGAGAAAAGAGAAGATGGGAATTTGGAAGGGGGAGGGGGAAGAAATTTTGAAAGGGGCGGTGATATGCCGCCTCTCTCTTTTTTTTCTATTTTTTTCCCTATTTTTTCTATTTTTTATTTTTCTCTATGTCTTCTACGGAGTAGTTAGGTAGAATCTATAATTCGTCTCTGATCACAAATAAAAGAAGAAAATAAGGTGAAAATGGGTGAAAATGGGTACCCTTTCTGCACATTACTAGATGCCCAGGTGACTGCACTGCATAAGGCGCGCACGGACTTGATCTATTATAGTTTCATATTGGGAATATATACCCTAAGGGTATATACTATGATGATCAGACATGTAGTATATATGCATCTATACGACTTCTATCCAAGTATCAAGGTACCTTATACGGAGTACAAAATACACAAATTCCCTCCTGTTTCATGTAGAAATGATCGACTCTGGGGCTAGTGTCGATCACAAGGTGGCTCCAGTTCGTGGTATTGGCTTCTCAATAGTCTAAATTCATATCCTTTGAGTGATAAAATCTACCCCTTATTTATTACCATAGGAAAAGATAGGCGAGACAGAGTTTAAAAACAATTGGCTGGGATCCAGTGGGATCCAGTTCAAGTTATTATTGAGCCTATAAGAAATCAACGGAGAATGTCTCTTCGTTAGGGTCTTCCGCGGGTCTGCCACAGATCCATATTTTGATTTTCATCGCAATTTGCGTCTTTTTTGGTGGCTGAGCCGTCGGGCTTAGCGCCGTTGTACTTGACTACTTATTCGTAATGTCTATTGGTCACGCAAGGACCTCCTGTGGTGAGAACATGAAGATGATCAACTTTTAACGGTACCTGAATCACATGGTATGAGCCATATGTGAAAATATATATATATATATAAAAGAAAATGTGTCTGCAATGCGAAAATTTTATATATATGAAAGAAAAATAACTACAATATACATATATACAATGGTGTAGGGATAGGTACATGTAGTCGGTACATATCTCCCAACCTTGAAATAGGTGATTAGATGTGTATCAGGGTCAAGTGGCAGTGCGAAGTCAACAAGTCAACTGGCCAACAGCCAACGGTCAACGGCGGGGGTGAAATGGCAGAAATGGTCGGTGTGCCTTGCCGTATTATCTTTTGGGAATCCCGTAGAGTCATAATTCTGCGAAATATTGTCCGATCAAAAGAACGCCCTTCAACACACTCAAAAATCGATTCTGCAGGAGAAGGCTGCAGCCATGGCGTCCGACTTGACAAACCAGATTTTGGACGCCCTGTACGCGTCCGATGCGCCCATCTTCTCCAGCGAAGCCTTCCCCTCCACCCCCTCATTGAATGTCAAGAGTGCGCTCGACCGCCTTGATTCCCGGCAGATGGTCGAATATGAGACCTTAGAGAAGGAAATCGTTACTCTCACTGCTGAGGGTCAGGAGATTGCCGCCAATGGCAGTCACGAGGCCAAGGTCTTCGCCGTGGTGCTTGCTGCTATGGACGGATTGAAGATCTCCGACTTGCCAGGAATTGTGGGCAAGGAGAACGCCAAAGTTGGCCAAGGAAACGCTTTCAAGCGTGGTTGGATTAAGAAGGACAAGGATTTGCTGCGGGCATCCACAGACTCAATTGTCGACGAGACGCAACAGCAGCTGCTTGAGGTTCAAAAAACAAAGTCTCTGGACGATAAAAAGGTCATGCTTGATCTCAAGCGGAGAAAGTTGGTTGGTCTGGCAAAGGAGATTGCTTTCAAGATCAGCAAGGGTCCCAAGTACGCCCGAGAATTCGTCAAGGAGCAGACCGACCTCACCCCAGAGATGCTCGCCAGTGGCTCGTGGAAGACGGCGCATCTCAAGCCCTACAACTTCAATGCCAAGGGTGCCCCGACTCCATGTGGTACTCTACACCCGCTGAACAAGGTGCGAGCAGAGTTCCGCAGCATCTTCTTTGACATGGGTTTCGAGGAGATGCCAACCAACCGCTTTGTCGAGACCGGCTTCTGGAACTTCGACGCTCTGTTCGTGCCCCAGCAACACCCCGCCCGTGATCTCCAGGATACCTTCTACATCTCCGACCCTGCCGTGGCCGACCCTCCTCGTGCGGATCCCCCCAACGACCCCCACGTCCGAGCTCAAGACAAGTCCGAGAAGCCTCTCGACTTCCAAAAGTATTGGGATAACGTTCGTGAGGTCCACGAGCACGGAAAGTTCGGCTCAATTGGCTACCGCTACCCCTGGAGCGCGGATGAGTCGCTCCGCCTTGTGCTCCGCACCCACACCACCTCCATCTCGACCTACATGCTGCACAAGCTGGCCGCCAACCCCCGGCCGGCTCGCTTCTTCAGTATCGATCGTGTCTTCCGGAATGAGTCCGTCGACGCTACCCATCTGGCAGAGTTCCACCAGGTCGAGGGTGTCATTGCCGACTTCGGTCTGACTCTTGGTGGTCTGATTGGATTCATGGAGGTCTTCTTCGCCAAGATGGGCATCCACAAGCTGCGCTTCAAGCCCGCCTACAACCCTTACACTGAGCCCAGTATGGAGATCTTCGGTTACCACGATGGTCTCGGAAAGTGGGTTGAGATTGGTAACAGTGGCATGTTCCGCCCAGAGATGCTGGAATCTATGGGTCTGCCCAAGGACCTGAGAGTCTACGGATGGGGATTGAGTCTTGAGAGACCCACCATGATCAAGTACGTTGAATCAGCTACCTAGCATTCATTTCCATTTACTAACATCTATTAGGTACGCTGTCAGCAACATCCGTGAGCTGCTCGGTCACAAGGTCGACCTGAACTTCATTGAGACCAACCCGGCCATTCGTCTCGAGAAGGATTAAACAGCGAAAGACTCATAGAGAAAAAAGAACGTGCTTTTAGTTGTGTCTTGCTTGTGGGCTCTTCTCGCTTTCAATCACGAGTTTATGTGGAAGGGAACGTATTACATATCAACGATGGACAGGATGTGAATAAAATACTTGATAAAGCAAGACTCCAGCGTAGTCAGTCAATGTAGGTGCAATTGAAAAAACAGAGTATCCAGTATGGTATTCATCTAGCTTTGTCTACAATGGATGTCCTGTCCGTATCTGTGCCCCAGCGCATGGATCTCTGCAACAGTGGCTCTTCAGCAGGCGGGAGCTCGGAAGCATGATCTTCGGCATTAAAAAGTATTTCTACCTCCTCACTCATGGAAATGGAGACACTGAAGACCAAGACCAGCTAACCAGTCTGGTTTTCAAGTCTACATTGAATGAGGAGGTATTTATATGCCGAGGAGAAGAAAGAAAAGGAAGTAGACAAAGACTAAGAAATATATGATAGGGATATCGATTCGATTTTTTGGCATTGCTTTTTTTTTTGGCTTGTGCTTCATGAGGTTGGGTGGGAGTCTATCACAAAAAGAGAACAGGCGGGGATTCGTAGAGAAAAAAAAACCTGACCCATCAAGTCGTCGATATTCCATTCATTTCGAGAGATAAGGTAGGAAAACAGGAGTTTCTCAGAGGAGAAAAAGAAAAAAATGAACTAAGGAACATAACTATATCCCTTGCGTCCTTTTTTGGTCTTGAAACCAACTCCCCGAACACGGACCATCAAGCCACGGTTCCTCTGCAGCGAGTTAGCCTTATTGAACATATGAAACATGCAGTATATAGATGAACACAACGTACCATAAAATCAACCCGTCAACACCATCCGTTAAAAAAAACCACATTGCTGCGGATAATTTAGCGCTGGCTGGAGGCGGCCCAAACGTTCTTGAGGAAACCGTCACGCTGAGCAAGGCGGTTGAAGGAGTCGTCGCTCTCGCCGCGGGCACGGATGAAGCCGCAAAGAGCGTAGGTCTGGTTGTCACCGGTGTAACGGCCGTTCTCGTCAACCTTGCCGACGGAGAGCTGGACAGAGGCGTGGTCGTTGGCCTTGATGATGCGGTTGGTGGCGCTGCACTTGCGGGGCACGTAGCTGTTGAGAGGGAAGTCATGTTAGTTGTCTGCATTCTTGTTTTTTGGTTTTTGCGAGCGAATATGTTCCCCTCCAATAACCTGCTGTGCCCTGGTTTTTTTGGTAGCTCGCCGACAATCGCAATCACGCAGCATTGCAGATTATTTTTCAGTCCTTGCAATCTCCGATCACACCGGGTACATCTCTTGAGCTTGGAATCGAGGCGAGATCTCTGATTGTATGCGACCACGCAGACACAGGGCACAGGGTATATTGGGATTGTAGGAACGGGTGTAAAATCCATAGCACGTACAGATCGACGATCTCTCCCTTCTCGTTCTCCATTTTGGCGGGTGTGGTGGTGAGGTTTTGACGGGCGACGGTGAGGTTGGAGGTGGATGGTTTTTCTGCCGCACATTAAATTGAAGACCTCAAATGATTTGTGTGGGTCATGTGACCCTTTGTCGAGGGCTGGCGTGGCTGAAGTGGGGCAGGCGTGGGTTTAGCGGGAACTGTACTAGAGGCCGTGGCAATTTCAAATTCAATTCCCGAGATCACATCAATTGCTAGGACTATGTAGTTATGTAGGGCTAACTGTAGTATGGGTAAATCTATGTATTTTACAGATTACTCTTTTCCCTCTCTTCCTGCAAGACGTCCTTCTTCCATCCTACCGACACCTCTCGTGCACTTCCTTTCTTAAACCGTACAATAACAACTCTGTCGGACTCTCCTCGCCTGGAAGTCCCTTTAAGCTCAGGTCCGGGAGAATTCAGACCCAACACAGATCGCCCATCGCCGGTCATGTGGATCATTTTTGGAGATATGCATTTCTCTGTCCATGGAGGAGAACCCGAATGGACGAAGTCAACAAGCGCTTGACGACGCTTCTCCATTTCTTCCACAGAAGCATTTACACGAGGCTCCTTGTCCAGGAATCCTGACACCAAATGCAACAGAAGGAATTGCGGTGGGAATAGAATGATTTCTGCCTTTTGAGCACGGCTAACCCACTCTGACGCCGGAAGAAACTGTGCCTCCGTAACCTCGATTCCACCGTCACTCGTTGGGATCTCATGCTGCTCGTGTTCGCCCTCTGCTGGGAGTTGGTCGAGAAGCTTCTTATCCACATTTACAGGCAAAGGCAAGAAATACAGATACATCTGGGTGGTGTATCGCTTGGGGACATTGGTTGGCGTAACCCAGCGAGTAAAAGGAATTAATTGGCCTATAGAGTCAGCGTGCTGCTTTCGGGTCTCGATTATGCAAATTAAGCATTTACCTATATCGGGCTCGGCATCACTGTTTTGCTGCTTCAGCCACTCATCAAAAGTAGTCTTGTTCTGGTGAATGAGTCTTCTGCCTGCCTCTCGGTTAGGCTCGTCGACGGCAAGCATCTTCCCGGTGCTCTGATCTTTAGCTAGAAGAATTCCACTCTCTTCAAAGAGCTCCCTGATCGCTGCACGCCGATAACTAGGGGAATCTTCGTGCCGTGCTAGGTCTTCGGGCGGTGGGCATTCCCCATCTTGGCTGGATAGGTTGCCACCTGGAAAGACATGCGCAGATGCAAAAGAGGTAGAGGTCTTCACGCGATGAAGAAGAAGGATCTCATTCTTTGAAGATATGAGAAGCACGCTACAGAATAGTTAGTTTTGCCTTTGTTTTAGAATCCATGGATATGTCCCTTGGATAACATCACTGTATGGACATCTCTATCATGTGGTCCCTTCTTGTTGGCTTACCTAGAACTAGGCCGGGGCACCGTGGGCTCACTACCACGTTTTGTGCTAGACATTTTCTGAGGAATTGATGGAGCCGAAGAGGTTTTAGTTGTGTATTTTCTCACAGTAGATTTACCGTTTGGGCGCTGAAATGACTGGACCGAGGCAATGTGAAATGCGCGAGATGTTCGAGATGTCCGAAGGCCAGCGGCAAATCGATGACCCAGTCGTTGTCCTAACCTGTGATGACGGAGATATTCTTGATAGATAAAGGACATTGCAAGATCTTGAAGCCGAAGAACGGCTTCTCGATGTTTATAGTCAAGGGCAGAGACCTCGGGAGCCGATAGCCTAGGCAGTTCCTTGTTACCCCGCGTGCAGCTTAACTCCATCAAGCTTAGCCGAATGCAGCCACATGTGCTCGGGCGACCTCCAGGGCTTCCTACCAGACTACATTACTGTTTGGATAAATTAAGAGAAAAATTAAACGTGGTTGCTCATTAATGGAAATGGCGTAAATCTTCATATCATAAACTCCTATCCTGTACCCTTATTTTAATTTTCAGGCCCCATCATCCATCGGGGTTAACCCCGATGATGTATTCACAAAAAAAGCCCAGTCAGCTCTTACAAAGCTTGGATCTTACGAGTAAAGCTTCTTGTCGTAGCTGTGGAGACCGTGGACGTTACCCTCGGTCATAGCGCTGGCACTTCTCATCTCGAAACGCACAGTGCCCTGGTTGACACCATCGTGCAGAGCGTCCAGGCTCTGGACACCAATGTCCTGCAGGGAGTGCTGGATACCGGCAACGAGGTAAGGAATGAATTTGGTGACGGAACCGCGGTCAAGGACGGATCCAGCGACACCCTGAGCGACAAGGACACGGTCCTTCTCGGAGAAGTAGCGAGCGGTACCAGCGTTGCTGGCCTTGCTATCCTTTCCGTCACCACCGGCCTTCTTATCCTCCATGGCGGCAATGCTGCCCATGCCACGGTAGGCCTTGACGAGCTGGCCCTCGTTGCTGACGTAGTACTCACCGGGAGACTCGGTGGTACCGGCAAGGAGACCGCCCATCATGACGGTGCTGGCACCCATGGCCAGACCCTTGACGATGTGACCAACGTTCTGGACACCACCATCGGCGATACAGGGAACGCCGAAGCGAGCGGCAAATGATGCAACGCTGCGCACGGAGGCAGCCTGGGGACGGCCAACAGCCATAACCTCCTGGGTGATACAGGCACTACCGCTGCCCATGCCAATTCTCAGGCCATCGACACCGGCGGCAATCAAAGCAGCAGCCTGCTCACGAGTGACAACGTTACCACCGATAACGTCGATCTCGGGCATAGTCTTCTTAATGTACTTAATCATCTCGATCTGGTACATAGAGTTACCCTGGCTGGAGTCCAGAATAACAATGTCCAATCCAGCCTCAACAAGAAGCTTAAGGCGGTTCTTGTCCTCCTCGCGAGTACCAATAGCAGCGGCAGAAATCAGCTGCTTGGAGTCGGGGAGCTTGGAGGCCAGAGGGTAGTGGAGGTTCTTCATCAGATCAGAGCGGGAAAGCAGGGAGACAATGTTGCCATTGGCATCAACAATGGGGAGCTTTCCCTTCTTGGACTGACGGAGGACCTCGTTGGCCTCGGCCAGGGTGGTGCCAGCGGGGGCAGTAACAAGATCCGTGGCCATGATGGCAGTCACGGGTGCGTTATCATCAGTGTGGAACTGAATGTCACGCGAGGTAACCATTCCAACGAGCTTGGACTTGAGGGTTCCGTTCTCTATGTTCAAACATTAGCATTTGCTGGTGAAAGCTGATGTGAGGACAATATCCAAGATAGACAAATTGTTCAGATAAAATCTGGTTCTCTACAGTGCAACTTTCGTTGCTGCAGTGGAACGAAAGTTATAATTAAAAGAGGATGGTCATCATGCAAAGTGGATGTGCGGGTGCTGGGAGAAGGATATTCTGATGGGTATCTTACCAGTGACAGGGAAGCCACCGAAGCCCCACTTGGCCTTCAGCTCCTTGGCTTCACCAACAGTGGCCTTGGGAGAGAGGACAACAGGGTCCAGAATGAAACCGTTCTCGTATCTCTTAACCTTGCGGACCATCTCTGCCTGATCCTCAGGAGAGCAGTTGTGGTGGATAACACCCAGACCACCGAGCAGAGCCATGTGGATGGCCATGTTGTGCTCGGTGACTGTGTCCATGGGCGAGGAGAGAAGGGGAGCCTTCAGGGAGATACGCTTGGTAACAGGGGTTTCCAAAGAGACATCGGAAGCGGGGAAGCCTATTAGGGTTAGATAAGGAAGTTTTTTTTTTTCGGACCGTGAATTTCGGCTTACCGATGTAACCGGGCAGGATCAAGAAATCATTGTAGGTCAATGCACCGTGCTTGTCAGAATCAAGCAGGGTATCCGCATCAAGACCATCAAGGGTGGTATAGGTATCCAAAACCTCCAAGGCCTTGGTGTAGTCGGTGATCTCAGCCTTCATGGCGGCACCAGGTGCAGCGTCACCGGCGGTGATAGGCATGATTAGAAGAAGGAGAGTTTAAAAGAACGAGTGAGACACGACCCGAGGGAAAATCTTAATCAACAGAAAGAAACGTTCTGCTGATGGAGAAAGTCGAGCTTTCCCAAGGAAGAGAAAGAAGAAGAAAAAGGTCGAGCGAAAAAAGTTTCCTTTTCTCTTCCGTGCACGGCCAAGCCATGAAGGAGCTTGTCTACTTCCGGTATAGCGTACTGCTTTTTTCACAGTTCCCTCCGCTGATTGGTTCGTAAACGAGTTACTTAAGGCGGTGAGCTTGTTTTTGCTTAGCCGTCTTTCTATATTGATGCATGTATGTATGTACGTCGGTACTAGTATGTAGATCGTGCTAAGACCTTATGTACTTTAATAGAATAATGTAACGTTGTTACCTTGATTCCGATATGCGCTCTTATGAAAGGCATATTGCCGATTAATTGGATATAAATATCAGATGCCGTACAGCACAGCTTTCGAAGTCGGTAGTAAATGCCCAATGTCAGTTGGTTATAATTGTCAAGATGCTATTGATCCCTATACAAAACCATTGAACGAAGGGAGATTCATTTTTTATATGCCTGGTTGGCCGTGCAACGGATCAGCGATCTCGCCAGCGGCTTCGATTCCCGTATGGATCTGTAGCCATATGACGACAGGATGATAGTAACGAATGCGGCAAACACAGCGTCTTAAAGGTGGTATCATTTTATCCAATTATTCTAAACATCGTTTCTCCTATCAGCATGGAATCTTCTATGGGTGAACATGGCGCCTTCAAGCCTGCACCGTCGGCACAGGCTCAGAACAAGCCGGGGTGAGTGATATTTTACCCGAATGAAATAATTCCACTTAGATGGTGTGCTAGATTGGAGAGCATAATGACAGAGGCCAGTGAGTCAACCAAACTAGAGGGCTCTTGCGGCTTTGCTGAATATGCGGGTTCTGGGAAGCTGAAAGGCAAAAATGCTCTAATTACCGGCGGAGAGTATGTGTAGCAACTTTGCAGGAACAAACTTAGTTGGGTTAATCATCTCTTAGTTCTGGGATTGGACGATCAGTTGCTATTTTGATGACTAGAGAGGGTGCGGATGTTACCATCGTTTTTTTGCCCTCGGAACAGCCAGACGCAGAGGCAACCAAAACGTCTGTTGAGCAAGAGAAGAGGACCTGCCTTCTTATCTCAGGTGATTTGAGAGATCGCAACCTATGTCGCCACGCAGTGGATGAACATGTCAAGAAGTCAGTATGGAGTACTGTTTCAAGTATGAACAAATGACTGACCCTGAGAATTTACAGATACGGCACGATCAATATATTGGTCAATAATGCGTTGAAACAGTACCGATGTACGGAATTTGAAGACATCGATCTGGATAAGACTGAAGACATCTTCAGTACGAATATAGTTCAGATGATTGCCATGGCGAAGTTTGCTCTTCCTCATATGGCACGAGGTGATTCGTAGGTGCTCTCTTGTCTAATATATTATATCAACATATACTCATGCTCTTTCTCCAGGATCATCAATACTTCTTCTATTGTGGCTTTTCGTGGTTCAGGAAACATGATTGATTATGCTGCAACTAAGGGAGCTATCATTAGTTTTACTAGGGCTTTAGCAACATATTTGATTCCTAAGGGTATTCGAGTCAATGCAGTCGCGTGAGGATCATCCATCCATGACTGATTGAAGGTACATACTGACGTATTTCCAATTCCAGTCCAGGTGCGATCTATACACCAATTCAAGTTGACACCCGAAGTGCCCAACAGATGGAAGGATGGGGTCAGAAAGTTGGTCTCGGCCGACCAGGTGAGCCTAGTGAGGTTGCTACAAGCTTCGTCTTCTTAGCTAGTGCGGGTGCTTCTCTATACTGTGAGTGGTCAATATCCCACATCTTCAACCCCTTCCCATTTTTTGAACTGTCGGCTAATATATAATATATAATCACTACATTTGCAGATGGGCAAGTGCTGCACTGTTACCCGCTTGGCGACTAAATGGTGTTACAGGGAGCGATCTATACCAGTGGAGGGGTTGGTGGAACATTTTTCTGAATGTGTGCTTGTCATTGGTATCAAATTGAAATTCAACGGGATATAAAATCAGTACAGGAGCCATGGCTTCGCTGCAGTAAGAGCTTTGTTCCATCCCTCGTCATTCTGCCAGATGGCGACACTCTCAATCTCCTCTCTGCCCAGTTTGAGTCCATTGTAGAGATGCTAGGCTTTATTTCAGAAAATTTCAATTTCACACCGATATATTCAACTTACTGGGAAGAGTCCTTCGCCGGGTCGAGGGCCGCATACTTTGCCGTCTGGGGACTCCCAGCGGATATCTTGGATCACACGATGATATTCGATCCGCAATACATACACAAGTGGTTCCTCCGTGAAAAATGTTTTCAATGTGTTTCCCACCTGGTGTGCCATCGAGAGGTGGATGAAGCCAGAGGTCTCATCCAGTTCGCTTACCACAAGCCGGTCAGGAATTGGCTCGCGGACTGGGGTGGTGGAAGGCACAATTTTGTAGATGTAGCGAGGTTGAGAAAGCAGTGATGCCATGATGGAAGTTATGGGAGGAAGAAAATTAATTCACCGAAGTCAGTGATAAGAGAATCAAAGTTAAGGTCCACGGGTTGGTGGTTGCATCCATGGATTTATTGGCGGGGTCGGTTTAATCGGCAACTTGCCTTTCAAACGCTCTGTGGGATTATTGCGCCATTTTTTGTACGGTATATAAAGCACCCGAATTTAGATAAATATGCGATATCATATCTGAAATGGTTTCTTTGGCTTTCAATGATATATCTGAATTCACACCGAACTTATTGCCTGTTATATATATCTATGGACGTTGAGCAACGACATATATTTTAACCGCCAAGATAAGGAGGATTGTTTATGTCAGTGTCGAGCATGATATATTTATTGGGGGAAAGTCTGGAAGTAGAGAGTCATGCCCCCTCTCAGAAGCGAACAAAGCTCTTAAGATATCAGCGAGAATGGAGCACGTAGTTATGCGTATCAATTGGCGGTCTACTTTGTGCTTTGTACAACGGCTACGGGTTCCGTACTTGGTGACTTGAGAGATCGTGAAAGATCATGTTGGTCGCACGGGACTACGAGCCCACTTAGACCTGCCTAATTGCACAAGCCACTTTTGCCAAGACTGCAGGCATCCTGATACTGACAGGTCAGATATTTGTATTGGAAGGAATGTTCAGCTTATCGAGCAACTTTACTGTGAGAGACCTTTGCGATTTCAGACATTGGAGTAATTGCAAATGGGTAATAAGCGTATAGTAAGTAACAGGTCCATGTTCAAGGTGTGACCTGTCGAGTAACACAATCTCTTAGTTCTTCATTGCACGTGATTCAAGATCGACAAGCCACAATCACCTGATGGCGCTATACCCGATCTAGAGATTTGTTGTGCCCCCTGCGCCCACTTTGGGGAATCTTGGTCGCACTTGCCCCCACCGTCAACAATTCCATCATCGGGGATACACGAGTCCAGAGCTTGTGTTGACACAAGTCGCGCGTCTATTGGATTTTTCTCGCCAAGTCATGGGAGGTTGCCCTTGAATGTTATCTCCAAAACATCTGTCCGAAAAAGGTCTTGGAGACCTTGTTTAACCTGCGCATTCCGCTTCTACCACCAGAGCAGGGATGCGGTCAAAGCAGCGCGATATTCTCCAATCTAATTTTGCATGCCACCCTGAGATTAAATGATGTCAACTCAATTTCCATCCCTCAAGCGGGCCCAGACGGACTTTCCCTCGCAGTCGACCAGCCCGTTACGACACGGGTCGACAGCGTCCACGAACTCGTCTACATATTCTGTCGCGTCAAGCACGTTCGCTCCTAGTCGGACTAGTACTGTCTCCTCTAATGCATCAGTATCAAACAACCTGGGTCACTTCCGAGGGAAGAGTGAGACAAGCAGTATGAGCTCAGCAACGACTGTTACGGACGCAATGGAACGAGGAAATTGGTCAAATGCTGGTACAGCATATGACAATATTCGCCGATCTCTACGACCACTACAACAAGCCCCTAATACCCCATCGTCAACCACGAAGAGTGGTGGGTACCGACATTCACGAAGCCAAACAATCGGCGAATCTAGCCCGTGGAAGGAAAATCGACCTGGCACCCCCGAATCGCGTAATCTCCATCTCCAGGAGAACCAGTCTCCACGTCACAAAACACACAACTACGAGGCCCAGAGCCCCCCACCGCCCACCTCTCCTAACCATTGGTCTACTGTGCCCGGAACATCGCGTCCTTCGTCTCCCCAAAAGACATTGCTACATCCACCGCAGCTGACTGCTGCGCTCTCTGCACCTGAGCTTGAAACGTTGCAAAAATCATCCACAGGCCATCTTAGAACTCTCTCGAAGTTTGCACAGTCTGGCGAAAACGAATTTGGCGCGGCCGCAGCCTCTGTGGTGGGTTTGCAAGGCCGACGACGCCTCAAACGAGCCGGCTCCGTAGCTGGAAGAAATGGTGCAATATCTCCTGAAAAGCCGAAGGCATCCTCTTGGGCTGCCGGCAATTGGATGGATCAGCAGCGACAATTCATCCAAGCATACGAGTATCTGTGCCACATTGGAGAAGCTAAACAGTGGATTGAAGATGTTATTCAAAAGCAAATTCCACCAATTGTTCAGCTGGAGGAAGGACTGCGAGATGGTGTCACTTTGGCGGAGGTGGTGCAAGCAATGTATGCAGGCAAGACCCTTCGCATTTTCCGACACCCCAAGTTACAATACCGCCATTCAGACAACATCGCCTTGTTTTTCCGATTCCTTGATGAAATTGAGTTACCAGAGCTGTTTCGATTTGAACTCATCGACTTGTATGAAAAGAAAAACCTTCCCAAGGTCATACACTGTATTCACGCGTTGTCATGGTTGCTCTTCAAAAATGGTATGCTAGACTTCCGCATGGGCAATTTGGTTGGTCAGCTCGAGTTTGAACACCACGAACTTGAGAAGACC